TATCGTTCATATAAAATTCATATTAAATACAAAATAAATGAATAAATATAAATAAATAAGATTAAATAAGAAAGGGAGAGAGTGAAAGGGGGATGTTATTACAATGGTTTACACACATTAACATATTTACATATAAAAATACAATATATATGAAATAAAAAGTAACATACCAACAAAATCTTGGCTTCCATTGGTCCACACCCTCTTTCTCAGCCAATTCAGTTGAAGCCTTAAACTCTTTGATACAGTTCATGAAGATATTACTGTCCATTATTGCAGTTTCTCTGTTCACGATAGCTCCTGAAATGTAAAAAGATACGTCAACATATATTATTTGAACAACATTAAATTATTCATATCAATCACTCAGTATATAACAACAGCTCTCAAATGTCCCTGAGGAAAATTGCTCTGAATTTAGACAAGCTTCACAGGGACACACAAACCACCTTCCAGTGGATTCCATCCTACATTGGATTGGAAGGCAACGACATAGCAGATGCAATTACAAATTTATCAGCAAAACCTAACTCAGACCTTAATTTAGACTCTTTAAAAAAAGAAAGATCCAAGCAAAAATACAGGAGTCAACATTCCATCATTGGTACCTGAACAAAAGGCCTGGAGCTATTCTGGAATGTGGGATAAACCGAGCGGCAACAAACTGTATTTCCAGGCTCTAAATTGTCCATACAAGACCCCTTCTCTTCCAGGATGGTGTAAATACCTTCCCAGAATGCATCATCTGCAGAACCAAAGAGGCCTCACCAGACCACCTCTTGGAATGCATGGGAACCTCAAGACAGGACCTGTATTCCAAACCTACCAAGATTGTAAATTTGATATATGAAATTTAGTCTCCATAACCTTATATTCAATGGACAAAAGGTTGTGAAATTCAGCAAATAAACATTTATTATTGATTCGTCCCATATGTTTTATTAATATAAATTTGGGTGCGCCTTATTGAAAAGTCTTATCAATTTAATTATCAAAATATAATCAACTATACATGGCATATTTTATTGAATGAATGACTACAAAAATTCCTTATTCGCAATTGTAGTTATAAAATCTGTTAGTTAATGTGGCTTGAAATCTTTGAACATAATAATCATCTTTCTTTAAGATTTTATAGACAGGATTTGAGAATATATAAATATCTAAATAATTGAAAATATTGGTATAATAAATTATTTTATATTAATTTTCAGATTCGTAAAATTATTTAAATAGAAATCGGTGTCTGTATAAGCATAAAAAATCATAATGATTGAGATAAGTAGAAAAAAAAGGTAAGACTATAAAATAAAATCATTAAACCTATTTTCTAAAAAGTATCTAAAATAATTGATAACTATTTTAAAAATCACCTTTGTGAAATTTTCAAATGATGAAATAAGAAATTTTATATATTTCGGTTTTAGAAAGGGTGCTTTAAAATAAATTTATTAATAAAAATTTACAAATATGTGTAAAACCTATTGTTTTATATGCGTAAGTAAAATAACATTCAACAACAGCCCTGCATCAATGTTTCCAGGAAATAAGGCTTCGTCTCAGAATATTTTTAATCAAGACCATCCCAACAGAGAAGAGAGAGAGAGACCTTCAATATATGTTTTCACTATATAAAAGATAAGAAAAAAGAGATATAAGAAAGAGAAGAAGAAATATAAGCGATATGAAAGATAAGAGATAAGAAAGAAGAAGACACTATATAATTTACATTATATTCTAAAATTCAGTGAATATGATTTTTTTTTTGGTCTTCATTATATTTTGTAATATTAATAAAATATTATTGATTATATTAGAACATAAAAAAGCAAGATAAATACTATATTTATCTTGTTTATGTTCAACATATTTTTACCTTGAAGAACAGTTTCGTTGTTACAAAGGTTTTGCAGCATGAGAAGACAAACATCAGAAAATTCTGGAATCCCATCTTTCAGTTCGTCAGATAGACAGTTTTGAAGTTCGGAAATGGCGTCAGTGATGGCATCGACTCTCAGTCTGTATCACCAGAAAATGTAGGTTAGTAGATACAATAGTTTTAGATACTGGAGTCACTTACTGGCAATGCTGCTTCACATCATCTACTGTCTGGTCCTTGTTCCAGTCACCAGTAGGGAGCATGTTAAACCAGGTCTGCATGTCCTTGTTCAGATTCTCCATGTCACACTGGCTGAAGTAGCCGTCCACTACCTCCGGGGTCAACTCACCCGAAGCTGGAAAAAATACCTATGTGTTAGAAGTATAACCTTTAAAATACTTTTGAAACAAATAAATCTGTTGAAAATCAAAGGTCTGATGTATTTTTCTAATGATTTTCATTTTAGTAGTTACATAGATTACTAGTGTATCAATTTTAATGGTCATTTGTCTAAATTAGTTTATTCTATTTGGTTAATTTGAATTATCTTCAGTTGGAAATTTGACATATTGTTCTTTTAATTTTGACTCTATATTCTGTTTAAGTTTTATCCCGATTGGTCAAATATTAAGGGAGAGTATAAGCTACAAATAAAAAAGGGAAACTGTTGACAAGACCATCCCTGTCTAAATGATATTCTAAGTTCAAACAACCACTCTAACTCTGAAAAGCATATAGGTCGAATTATCTTATTCTATTTCAGTGAATGTTACATCCCTGGGAGAAGAAAGGATACAACCATTCCAAGGAATCTCAGTAAACAGAGACTCCATTTCTCTCACCACTTGCTGAGTGATGAGCAGAAAGTGTTATGTATTGTTAAAGTTATTTGATATAAATATTCTTAAATAATTATTTAATAATAAGCAGAGTAATATTATCACTGAGTATTCGATCTATCATCATGGATATGTAAATAGGGTAGTGGAAGACTACTCAGATTGAAAAATAGATAAATAAACCTTTGATTTAGGATCAAATGATGAATAAACACTTTTTCTTCACACAAAAGGCTTATCAGAAAGGTTTTCTAATAATCAGTTAAACGAGCATACACACTATCCAATATCTCTCAACAATTGAATTTAGAGAAAGACTTTGTGTAAATATATATAATTACAAGGCAATAACGCGTCATATTTATAAAGGAAATAAAAGTATTAAAGAATGAATGTTTATTTTACACATAAAACTGTAATTGTGTGTGATATAAGTTTGATACATAGTTAAGAAAACATCTTTACATTATTATCTATCAGGCAACAAAACTTTTTTTTCATCCTTTTTGCCTTTATACAGTTATATAATAACAATCATAAACCTGATTACCACAATTTTCATGCTCTTGTACCTTATGAAATTAGTATAAATAATAACACAAGGATGTATATATATATATATTTAGGACTGCAATAGATCAATCTCTGCAAAAGGATCACACAAGAATAATAAATTCAAGACTATACTCCCACTATAAAAACATCTGCTCAACTCCGTTACCGGAACACTATCTTTACAGCGATTTCCCGCTCCGGGTCAAACGGTGTATTGCCGGTCTGAGAATCCTCGCGGTGCTCTTTACTGATGATCGCCCCAGAATATTTAAAACAGACGGATGGACATGCGGGATTTGCGGGACAAGAATGGAGCCGGGGCTACATCACCATATACTCTCATGTATGGGGTTGAAAAAAGAACGAGAAGTGCTCCTCCGTGAAATAGGTCTTGAGGGACTCTCTTTGGAGTTCCTGTTGAATGAGGTGGTGAGAAACAGAGCTGGAGCGTTTGCGTTGTTCAAATTTTGGCAGACGGCTGAAGAGAAGGGAAAGCTATATACATAATCTAATTGATGTAAATAATTATATGTAAATAACCTTTGTCAGGATTAGAATGACGAATCCTGTATGGGACTTTGATCCCAGTAAAAGGCTTGTTGCCTCTGTTGTATATAGTCACAGTGTAGAAAATACTACACTATACCTACTACATATAGGTTTCTCTCTGTATTCTTAGTTCTCTTCAATTACTCTGTAAACTGGCGAATCCTTTATAGGACGAGAGGTCCTCAATAAAGGCTTTTGTTGTTGTTGTATATATATATTTAGAGGAAATCCTCCTTAGGTAGAGAGAGAGAAATCCTTCTTGAGAAATCATCAACAAAGGATAGAAAGTATCTATTGCCTCCGGCTGATTTTACCGGCATTGGACCGCAAATATCTGTGTGGATGAGCTCCAGGGGGGGGGGGGGGGGTTCGTTTTGATCTAATATTGCCTAGGTTCTTGTGTGAGGATTCAGTGGCTTTAGAGAGAGAAAGAGAGAGATAATTTTACCCTTGGTGGGATGTCTAGGAGCCTGGCAGAGCTGATTTAATAGGACTCGGCCGAGTAATGCCTATAAAGGACGTAGGCTGATTCGAGCAACCCCGATGTTGGAGAGAGAGATATGATGTATTTCACTATAAGTAATCTTTCATAACAAAAATCCAGACAACTAATTGTAAGAAAATGTTTAACCATCTAACTTACCTTTGAAGACAAGCAGAGCTAATGACACAACCTCAAGCAATATCATTTTCAGACTGTGTTTCAAACTCTTCTCACACGCTTACATAAGCTGCATGCACAAAGTATATCTTTATTCATTCGACAGATCTTCTATGTAGATACCTAAATGGAATAATAATGAAACACATGTGTTACCGATATATACATGGAGTGCACGGATGATGATGTTTATAACATGTATTTATTGTTTTATTAATATTCAATTTTCTTCTTTTTTGAATATTCTTTATCACTAGGTATAGAATATTAAGTACTTGAGCGTTTTATGTTAGGAATCTCTCTCTATGTTCTTCACTACAAAATAATATGACAATTTATAATACAATATAATGCGGCTTATGATTGTAGAACGACGTTTGAAAATTTTACCGCAAATGTTTCTTTTGAACGAAAAATCGTTATTTATTTTAGGGAGAAATAACGACTATTTCTATCCTTAGAGATGAAGTATGAAAGAATGAATTTTGAAGAGTAATGATAACCGGAAAAATAAAGTGTACAGGGATTGGAATCGAACCCACAATGTTCCGCTTACGGTGCCATGTCCACTAGGCTACCCTGGACATATTTTTCATTTCGTAAATAATATATAAAGTTAATTTATAATGCAATATAATGCGGCTTATGATTGTAGAACGACGAAAATGAAAATTTTACCGCAAGTGTTTCTTTTGAACGACAAATCGTAATGACAATTAATAATATTAGGAAACCACCGCCGTTTGGCGATTAGATTGTTATCTAATTAAATTATGACAATTTGAAATTCTATGCTGGAATTCATATTTTTCTAATTAACAATTGAGCATAGACATCTTTGATATTCCTAAAAGTTGTCACGGACTTTGGATTATCTTCAATCTTTAAAAGCTACGTACTATTGACAAATTTAGTTTCATGTGAAGTGTTATAGGTTTGGTCATAGTTTTGTAAACATTATCATCTCTAAGGTAGAAAATATGTACTTTTATCTATTGGTTTTTATAGATTCATATATAAGCATTCGAAAACCTGAATACCAAAACTTTTATGGTATTATACCATGTGAAATTAGTATAAATTTTAACACAAGGATTTTTTAATAGAATCCTCCTTAGATATGAAGTATTTCATTATAAGTAATATATTCATGAAGATGGCCAATCTTATGTATCATTTATTCAAAAATCTTCAAAAATACCATTCTCTATTGGAAAAATTCCATTTTTGTGTAATTTTGTGACATATATTTTCATTAGCAACCTAACAAGAAATAAAACTTCAGATTTATATTTTTATACACACACAAAGCTTTATTAAGACCACTGGTCTTATACAGATTCACCACAAGAAGAAAGGAATCATAGATGGAGCTCCTGTACTCCAGGCAGCGCAGCACGAAACAATTTATACACTGCGCGACACTGAATTGGCAAAACCAAGAAATACTGATCAGAAAAATATGAAAATTTCATAGTGAAGTTACTTCACCTAGTTATATGTTAACGGTGTAAATTGCGCAGCTATCCCGTGCATCTAGTTTGAGATATAAGAGAAGGAACTTTGAAATTGAAAATATTCGCACCTCTCTGTCTCTCTCTCTCTCTCTCTGACAGGGAAAATATTTGAAATTTGTTTTTTGACTCAGAGAAAACGTTTAGTAGCAGAGAATGTCATGCCACCGCCAGCCGAGGCAGTTCCAGCGGACAGACGATTTCACGAGAGTTGATTGGACTCAAAAGCAACAGTTGGTTCATACGTCAAATCTCTACGGACAGAAAACTCGACGCATCCACAGTGCAAAGGCTATGACGAAGAAAGCTGGAACAAGGAAATGTAGCATGATTGAGGGGTGCTGGTACGGCCAGAGTGATGTCAGCACGTGTGAACAGACGAAACAGCCTGATGGCGTTGTTGGCCTCACAGTTCACTTCTGTCGCCATTTTGAAGGATGTTCAGGGCATTCTTGATTTTCCTATATCGACCAGAATCATTGGTCGCCGGCGCCCTACACTCAAGGTGCCTGTTAAGAAGACTGTCATTGTGTTAACTGCACGGATACCTCCGTTTACAAATTTATCGGGATAGAACCACATAGAACGCTGAGTGGCCAAGGGTGGTGTTATCAAGTTAATATAGCTTATGTTTAGGCAATGATAATCACCATGTAAAAGCTTGTGCCGTCTTGGTGACAGGTCCAATCCGGCCGCATCTGTGGGGCTCCTCACCTCACGACAACGCGGCATTATAGCTTGGGGAACCATTGCCTATGATAGCAGATCACTCAACCGTTTCGTATTGAGACCAATATGACGGCCCAACGATACGTAGATGACATACTGAAGCAGGTGACGCTACTCTTCTTTCAGGTAGTACCAAATGCCATTTTCCAGCAGTATAACGCCCGACTTCTCACAGCACGCATCAGTCAATAAGCCCTGCATGAAAACTCAGTTTCTTCCATGGTACCAGTCTTCTCAAATCTCTTACCTATAAAAGACGTCTTAGATCTATTTGGACGTCATTTGCGTGCGTTGCCACATCCGCGTTTAG